GAAAGATAATGCTGAGATGTATCATAATAATAATTTGATAATCATAGGGAACATACATTTTTTCTGTCATCCTATGTCGGAAAGCCTTACTAAACGAAGAAGCAGAAAAAGATGTAAAAAGCATGTCGGTTATGTGCACGTTTTTTTGATTTTCCGCTTCGTAAAGTTTTTTAGTCACATTTCACTGGAATTCCTAAGGACTAACTTGACTGCAGTGATCCCCAAATTTTCACCATCCTGTGTCGCCAATGTCCTCTTGTGGCGTTATATGTCCTACAGGACTGACAATCTATTCCTCCATTCCCTTCTTTCCTGTGCTATACTTTTAATTTCATGGATGGAATTCAATCCAACTCATTTGGCTTCTCTCATCAACGTTCGTTTTAGGTGTTCTTTTAGATGCCCTTCCTTTCTTAACTCTTTTATTTTCGATGTCAGTGCCCGCTAAGTGATTCTCTGCATGACAGGGTCGTAAATAACTTTAAAACTGAAAATACATAAAGTGGTTGTAAATAACATTAGAACCGAAAATACATAACGTGGTTGTAAATAACATTAAAACTGAAAATACATGAGGTAGTATATAAATGCATCGTGATTGTAAATAACATTAGAACTAAAAACACATAACGTAGTTGTAAAACTGTACAATCTAAACTGTCATACAAGGTCCGACAATTAAGTAATGAGACTAATTCCATACAAATTAAAATAATCAACAGTTGAAGATATAACCTATATTTTATTCAAAGTAAGCCGATTGTACATTGATACAGCAAGTGGTATGATCTAACAAACACTGGAACGACCTCTGTAGTTCTTCTGTTGTTATGGCTCTTAAAGTCGATGTTAAGGCCCATCAGTATTGTCAAAAAACGTCCGTTCAATGGTAACTTTAACTTTAGGAATAGAAAATCATCACAGGGAGACAAATTCTGGGGAGTAAGGTGGATGGCTGAGAACACAAACATGTTTTGGGGCTAAACATTCCTGTACAGCTAAAGCCCTTTGAGCCGGTGCATTGTCACGAAGAAGAAACAAATTGCCATGCAAGCAATTCCCCCCCCCCCACCCCCAAATCTTCCACTAAAGTTTTACAAATAGTCTCTGTATTAACACCAAATTCATCTACCATTATCCTCACATTCGAACAACGATCTTCTTGTATCCGTTTTGGAATTTTGCAATGAGTTTTTCATTACAAACAGAAATCGGGCATCTAGGTCTAGTTGCATTAGTAATAATTTCCACACCACTTTTGAATTGTGAATACCAGCTGAAAATCTGTGAACGAGGTAAACAATTATCTCCATATTACTTGTCACATCCATTCAACTGTTGCAATGGCGCTTTCTCTGAGTTTTAAACAGAGTTTAATGTTAGCTTTTCTTGCTCCATGCTGATTACGTAACAATGCATCTTTGACTAGGTTAACAAAATGGTGGCTTGTTTGTTGTCTGCTTATAGTATAGGGTGGCGATGAAAAGTTGCCAGATCATAGACGAAGATTTAATCTTTGGGTTCCATGCTGTGATTCATAGATGACATTTTGGTCTTAGCCATAATAAAATCAATGTAATTACTTTATTGTCGGACTTTGTAGTTTGCTCAGGTTTTTAAAAGCTGCTGATTTGTATGCACCACGAGGGGGGAAAAACAAATTTTTTTCCACCGGGAAACCGTTAAAAAAGAAGATCAGGACAAAGTAATTCGACTGAATTTATTTACATTTATAAAAGGCACAGAGGTAATGGAGATATCAGAGAATACCATGAAAATCAGAAAAATTGATAGGCTGTGAGCGGGTCTTCAAAAAAGAAAAAGACACCGTCTTTCTGAAGGACCAAATGTACACATGGACGCACGCAAGGCTAGATCATTCACCGCGTTAGATAACATTCACAGCAGACGCAAGTAAAATGAGTCCACGCCGATAAGAGTAGCTTTCAGTTATTGTAATTGGGAACTTTTAAACCTGTGTTGTTAAATATGATGTTGCTATTGGAAACGCGCATAGCAACACATATAAACACTGCTAATGCTATAAGACGAATGAATTGATAAGCATTCGATTCATTTTCCTTTATTGGTAATGACTAGATGTATTTTCTGATTGTGTAAACTCTGTGTATTGCAGTCTGATGTTGTGCTATTCAAAAATTAAATGTTTATTAGTTGCGCAGAATGAGTATCTAGCTTGTCAAGACATAGCTTAAGTTTTTCACAGAATGAGTATCTAGCTTGTCTAGACATAGCTTAAGTTTTTCACAGAATGAGTATCTAGCTTGTCTAGACATAGCTTAAGTTTTTCACAGAATGAGTATCTAGCTTGTCTAGACATAGCTTAAGTTTTTCACAGAATGAGTATCTAGCTTGTCTAGACATAGCTTAAGTTTTTCACAGAATGAGTATCTAGCTTGTCTAGACATAGCTTAAGTTTCTCACAGAAAGAGTATCTAGCTTGTCTAGACATAGCTTAAGTTTCTCACAGAATGAGTATCTAGCTTGTCTAGACATAGCTTAAGTTTCTCACAGAAAGAGTATCTAGCTTGTCTAGATATAGCTTAAGTTTCTCACAGAAAGAGTATCTAGCTTGTCTAGATATAGCTTAAGTTTCTCACTGAAGGTGAATATTTTCAAACTGTACAACTTCAAGGTCTACCTAAGCTTGCAGAGTAGCAATAGGAAGAGTAATTTTCCTATTTGATCAGAATGACCCTAGCCATTATGTGTGAAATTCAATCAATTCACTCTATCAGCGGTAATACTGTGGCTTTTCGTTGACTGGAGAACTATTTGTACACACGTCACAACTGTAATAGATTTATTTATACAGAAAAGCACGCCAAGACGATGTGACAGGAGGATGCATAAAATCATTGTGCAAAGTGGCATCCTCAGCTGATATTAGTGTAGGTGTACATGCACTCTAAATGTGATAATGTAAACACAAAACGTAGGGACGGATAAAACTTTCTGACATTCTCTCCACTTGGGCCAAACATTGAATATCATAACTAGGAACCTTAATCCATACTGTCCGTTTCCTCCCGTAGTATGCTTCTCAGAAGAAAGAAAAAAGTAATTGTTTTCTCTCTAGAGCTGGATTTTTTATGTAAGCCAACATTTGTTATAAGGTCATCTGAGTTCGGCATCAGTAACATCTGTTTTTCATTTTCCACATCAATAATTAATAGTTTAAGGGAAATCGAAAGCACTGTACTCTTCATTTTGACAATCAAAGTTGTAAGCCGTTGCTTGAAATTACATTTCTGTTTATTTCGTGATGCATTAGTTTTCAACAGCATCAGAAACGAATTGTATCCTAGTTCCAAGCACACATTTAAGCAAACAGGCTGTTCAGCATTAATTCCTTATTAGCAGGGGACTGTCCAGCTTGAGACCGACAATAGCTGATCAGTGTCATTCTTGAATGTCTCTTACCGTCAAATTCTGCCGTGGTGCCCTCGTCTATACCAGCTGACATGGACTTATAACATGTAACTGTCTCTTGATTCGATTTCAACCCCTCCCCCCCCCCCCACCCCATGTGGATTTCAACTCAACAGGGCAAATACCATATACCCTACTCAAACTCCAATCAGGTTATAACTGTCAAATTTTGTGGGTGGGTAATACTATAGGGTTGTATCATAAGAAGTATGTCAAGTCTGAACTCAGAGGCACAGTCAGTTCAAGAACTGGTAGCAAGGAGCAAATAAAACAAAAATAAAAAAATGACGACTCTTAGCACAAGTGTTCGTTAGAGTTAAAAGTTTAGACACAGTGGCATAGGACGCTCCTCTGCTCCCATCCCTTAGCTACACTCCTGCTTCTCTCTGATAACAGAGGACTAGGTTAGTATGGCTGCTGCCATCCCTTAGCTACACTCCTGCTTCTCTCTGATAACAGAGGACTAGGTTAGTATGGCTGCTGCCATCCCTTAGCTACACTCCTACTTCTCTCTGATAACAGAGGACTAGGTTAGTATGGCTGCTGCCATCCCTTAGCTACACTCCTGCTTCTCTCTGATAACAGAGGACTAGGTTAGTATGACTGCTGCCATCCCTTAGCTACACTCCTGCTTCTCTCTGATAACAGAGGACTAGGTTAGTATGGCTGCTGCCATCCCTTAGCTACACTCCTGCTTCTCTCTGATAACAGAGGACTAGGTTAGTATGGCTGCTGCCATCCCTTAGCTACACTCCTGCTTCTCTCTGATAACAGAGGACTAGGTTAGTATGGCTGCTGCCATCCCTTAGCTACACTCCTGCTTCTCTCTGATAACAGAGGACTAGGTTAGTATGGCTGCTGCCATCCCTTAGCTACACTCCTGCTTCTCTCTGATAACAGAGGACTAGGTTAGTATGGCTGCTGCCATCCCTTAGCTACACTCCTGCTTCTCTCTGATAACAGAGGACTTGGTTAGTATGGCTGCTGCCATCCCTTAGCTACACTCCTGCTTCTCTCTGTTAACAGAGGACTAGGTTAGTATGGCTGCTGCCATCCCTTAGCTACACTCCTGCTTCTCTCTGTTAACAGAGGACTAGGTTAGTATGGCTGCTGCCATCCCTTAGCTACACTCCTGCTTCTCTCTGTTAACAGAGGACTAGGTTAGTATGGCTGCTGCCATCCCTTAGCTACACTCCTGCTTCTCTCTGATAACAGAGGACTAGGTTAGTATGGCTGCTGCCATCCCTTAGCTACACTCCTGCTTCTCTCTGATAACAGAGGACTTTGTTAGTATGGCTGCTGCCATCCCTTAGCTACACTCCTACTTCTCTCTGATAACAGAGGACTAGGTTAGTATGGCTGCTGCCATCCCTTAGCTACACTCCTGCTTCTCTCTGTTAACAGAGGACTAGATTAGTATGACTGCTACCATAAGCTATGAAAAGTACGCTAACAGCCATTGGACAGCCATTAGCGCCTTTGTCAGTGTTGAGAAGCGTATGTTGTATATTTGTTTCAGCATTCGGCATCAACGGTAACGCAATACCATGGGAGTGGCAGACTCATTTCAATCATCCAGTCTTCTGGTGAAGATCACACTGATTGTTGCGTTAGTCAGCAACCTGCTTAAGTAAGTTGTATGTATCGGTTATTACCAGGGTCGGATCATGGCCAGCTATAGGGATCCCTATAGCTGACCGTGGCCGGATTAACCATTAGGTACAATAAGTACACGATTAGGGCATCACAAAAGGGAGGGGCATCACAGAAATGTTCAAAAATAGCATCATCGTCATTACAAACTTCCACTTTTGCCATGAAGGGTCGTGGGGAAGTTCAATTTCCTGTCGAGTGCTCGTAGAGTGGCTATGACCATCGTCATTCTGTGTGCAAGTCAAAGGACTCTTTCTCACTCCTTCAGACCTAGTGGGCTTACAGGGCTAGACCTATATTTTGTAGACCCATCAGCATTTGGTGGGTGGTATGGTCACCATCAGACCGACCGCCTTTATTACCCATGAAAAACTGGGTCGACCTGGGAGCCAAGGTTATTTTTTTAAATGTCCGGTACAGTCAGGATCCGAACCCACGACCGTCCGATCTGCAAACGAGCGTCTATCAGCTACACTACGGCGGCTTCTTGTGTAAATGTATGTTTAATGTTATAATCCATAATATCCGTCTGCGACTTCTTGCCCCCCCCCCACCCCCGGCCCATCAGATCAGGCACAGCGTCTAAATGGGTAGCCGTTGGGGCAGCATCACGTCAGATCTTGCACCCGTTGGGGCAGCATCACGTCAGATCTTGCACAGAGTCTGTATGGGTAGATGTTGGAGCTGCATCACATCAGATCAGGGACAGCGTCTGTTTCGGTAGCCGTTGGGGCTGCATCACTTCAGATCAAGCACAGCGTCTGTATGGGTAGCTGTTGGGGCTGCATAACGTCAGATCAAGCACAGCGTCTGTTTGGGTAGCCGTTGGGGCAGCATCACGTCAGATCAAGCACAGCGTCTGTAAGGGTAGATATTGGAGCTGCATCACATCAGATTTGGCACAGCGTCTGTATGGGTAGCTGTTAGGGCTGCATCACATCAGATCAGGGACAGCGTCTGTATGGGTAGCCGTTGGGGCAGCATAACGTCAGATCAGGCACAGCGTCTGTTTGGGTAGCCGTTGGGGCAGCATCACGTCAGATCAAGCACAGCGTCTGTATGGGTAGATGTTGGGGCTGCATTCTAGCGACATAAGTAGCATTCCTTCTATAAACAACCAAATGAGTTGTACTGTTTGCAATCTCCTCAGCTGGATATCCTTCACCACCACATCCTGGGCCACCTATTCAGGCCCATTTGGCGCTGACTCGTACACCGGACTGTGGAGATCTTGCGGAACCTTAGGTGGCTGCAGTCAGCTCGATGGAAGTGGCAGCTGTAAGTATTCTGTTATTTCATTGTTTTATTTATCTTATGTGCAGGGTGATTTGTGCTTCCAGTTTTCTCTTGAAGTGAAGGGACGGTACAAGGTTTTTGACTTTGGTCAGGTATTGTGAGAGGTTTATCAAAACTGGTTTCATCTTTAAATGTTACCATATAATTCTATTGACAAACGTGCAAACACAAACACGCACACAGACACATACCCACGCACGCACAGAGATACCCACACACACATTTCCATCTAACAAGGTGGTCTTTTAACTTTTTCAAGTCGTGCACCCCTTGGGTATATGGCAAAACCCCCCGCCCATTGGGTGTATGGCAAGACCCATACGCCCACCTTGAGTGTATGGCAAAACCCACACACGCCCTGAGTGTATGTCAAAACCCACACACCCCCTTGAGTGTATGGCAAGACCCACACACCCCTTGAGTGTATGGCAAAACCCATACGCCCCCTTGAGTGTATGGCAAAACCCACACACCCCAGAGTGTATGGCAAAAACCCACACACCCCTTGAGTGTAAGGTAAGATCCCAACGCCTCCCCCCTCCCCCGGTCTCCTTGGGTATATGGCAAGACCTACATGCCAACCTTTAGTATATTGCAAGACCGCCGCGCCCCAACCCTTAACAAAATTAAATGTGATTAAAAAGAGGAGGGTAATAGATTTCGCAACAGTGAAACATAGAGTATGGAGATACGTTTTGGTCAGAATGTGATCGTAATCTGTAATGAAATGTGCGTGTCGTCATATTACTTTGATTGTTAACGATAGATGTACATACTGTTCATGAAAGTAGCATGCCCTTGTCGTTTTGTTTCATAAATTCCCCGTGTGGGTTCCAGGGCCCCATTGTGAGGGAAACAAAACTAGATCCACTGCCTGCCTAACAAGCATGACTTAGGAGTCGACTAATTGGAGTCTTCCTTCAACGTCGGAGTGCACGCAAACTTAAGGCCCTGGCACAAAGCAAAAATCTAAATGGACGAACAACCAGGACTTTCCGTCTGAGTTTACAGCCATTGAACAAAGAATAAAGAAGGAGGAGTTTAATAAATAGTTTTAATAAAATAATTTATTTTTAAAGTTAAACAAAAGCAGAATGTAAGCATAACGGATTATTACATGTACACAGGCGTTCACTTTTAGAATTACCTTACTCCCCCCCCCCCCCCCCTTCCCTTGAAGTTACCTTGGGACCCACAGAAAGAAGACCAATGATCTAACAAGACACAAGTCTGTCACAAAAGTCAAGCCATTTTGAAACCTTCTGCTCCACTCACACACTTACTGCACTGGCTCGATACATTATTTTAAAAACTAAACCTGTTCTTCATGCTTTGCATTTTTGTAGTTAATAATAAAACAGTATCGGTCGGCACGGCGATTGCGACAGTGTCTCCCATTTACTTTACGTACAGCTTCTTATCTCGGACATGTGTACCTGCGGATAACAGCGGAACACCATGTTGCTGAAACGGTGAAACGTGCAGTTCCATACAAATATTTTGTTTAAAAAAAAAATTCACGAACTAGTGGAGGCTACGGGCATTAAACTTAAGGAATATGTAGTGTACAAGTAAACAGACATAATAACAGGGACAAAAGAACTCACTATATTTAATGTTATCAACAATAAGATAGTAGGTATAGGAGTTCTGCAGTGAATATGCACCAGCTGCGACTGTTCTATACATCACTATTGAAATCTGTTTTTCTCACTACGCTTGGCATCTTTTTATTACTGACAACATCAACTGATCTGTATTTGATTGACAGCTAGATTTATCGCCATCCAAGCGTTTGGTATCTTTGGATTCATCAGTTTGAACGTAGCAGTCCTGCTTCTGGTGCTTTACATATTCTGGGGAAGTTGCAGAGGAAACGCCGAGGTCAAACTAGCAGCCGCCATTCTCTTATTTGTTTCTGGTAAGGATGTTAAACTGCTCATTTTTCTTCTATCTTTCTTCTTTCTTTCCGTCCTGTCTGTCTGTCTATCTGCCTGCCTGTTTCTACCGTCTGCACGCTTCTTTCTTTCGTTAGTCTTTCCTTTCCTTTATCTCCTTCATTTAGTCTTTCTTTCACTGTGTCTGTGTGCGTGTATACTTTTCTTTAAAATACGAGATTAAAGAAGTTTCTCCATTCTTTCTTTATGTTACCTGCTGGACAGCTTCTTACAGCAGTTTTGTTTACTATATAAAGCAACATCGTCTTCTGCAGATCTTCGAAGCTTCTGTTGAGTCTCATGTATAACGTTGCTTCACCCTTTCAGAGAACTCACTTTAATGATCTGCATTTGAGTCTTACAATATAAGCTCTTAGTCCTGAGGTGCTTGCTCCTCCAGCACTGTTTTATGTTGCTGCTAAATCAGTTCAGTCATATTTTAATTCCTCAACACTTCATCTCACCCTGTTGGTGTTGCACCATGCATTACTCGGATCGGTTATAAAAAGCGGGTTCTGATACCTCATTGGTACAACGCGACTTATTAGGTTTATTGGAGGCCGCGTTAGCGCAGTCGATACGAGGCTCGCTTTCAAATCCAGCTGCGACTCACTGCAGCCATGGTCGGTGTTCGAAACCGGGCGGCTCCCGGGGTTCACCTAGCCTCTAGGAAATGGGTACCAGAGTTGACACTCTGGGGTAAATGGAGGAACGTCGCGAACGGCGACACAGGCAGACAGTTTCTTATCAGCTGTTCGTACTGGTGGCAGAGCACGTATGGTTTATAACCGTGTGCAATGACGCTGTTTCACATAACCGTGTGCAATGGCGCTGGTTCACATAACCGTGTGCAATGACGCTGGTTCATATAACGGTGTGCAAAGACGCTGGTTCACATAACCGTGTGCAGTGATGCCTCATATAACCGGTTGCAATGACGCTGGTTCACATAACCGTGTGCAATGACGCTGGTTCACATAACCGTGTGCAATGACGCTGGCTCACATAACCGTGTGCAATGACGCTGGTTCACATAACCGTGTGCAATGACGCTATTTCACATAACCGTGTGCAGTGACGCTGGGTCACATAACCGGTTGCAATGACTCTGGTTCACATAACCGTGTGCAATGACGCTGGCTCACATAACCGTGTGCAATGACGTTGGTTCACATAGCCATGTGCAATGACGCTGGTTCACATAACCGTGTGCAGTGACGCTGGTTCATATAACCGTGTGCAATGACGCTGGTTCACATAACCGTGTGCAGTGACGCTGGTTCTCATAACCGTGTGCAATGACACTGGTTCACATAACCGTGTGCAATGACGTTGATTTACATAACCGTGTGCAATGACGCTGGTTCACATAACCGTGTGCAATGACGCTGGTTCACATAACCGTGTGCAGTGACGTTGGGTCACATAACCGGTTGCAATGACGCTGGTTCACATAACCGTGTGCAATGACGCTATTTCACATAACCGTGTGCAATGACGCTGGTTCACATAACCGTGTGCAATGACGCTGGGTCACATAACCGCGTGCAATGGCGCTGGTTCACATAACCGTGTGCAATGACGCTGGGTCACATAACCGTGTGCAATGGTGCTGGTTCACATAACCGTGTGCAATGACGCTGGTTCACATAACCGTGTGCAGTGACGCTGGTTCACATCTCCCGACTTTTACCTTTTTTTAAATTAGGGTTTTTGTCTCTATGAAGTTAGAGTGCATCTACCCGAGAGGCGAGGAACCAACAGTCTGTGGACAAATAAGCCAGTTATGTATGTATGTTACATTCAAGTTCTGGGACAAGACCAAAATTCAGAAGAGAACAATACTAGAAATTATAAATAAGAAGGGCTAAATTCTCAAACGTAACAAATTATAAGGTGCCTATAGAATACGTTACTGTACGATAGCTTCCAAATTGCCTTGTCATTTAACTCTTTTACGGTCAGATAGTATTATTTTATAACTATTAAATGATGGTATTTAAAGGGGGTAAATTAATATAGCAATGATACTGGGGAGGTAAAGTAACCATTAGAGCACAATAAATTAGTTTAGCAACTGCATGAAACACAAACAGATACAACAATTTACAATGTAAATGAAAACCAGCAAAATCATTTTATGTTGCTTAGTACTGAATGAGTTAAACCACCACTACCATTATCATCGTCATCGTCGTCCGGTATGCCATATACGCCACACGGGAGTCTCAGTTGTCTCTTATCTTGAGTATTTGTTTCTTTGCTGTAATTCGCACCTTCCAGTTTTTTTCCAGACGATGGTGGGTGCTTTATTAATATCTTACCCCAAACAGGGGAAATCCACAGGTCACGGGACAGTCCAATATTTCAGGGGGTTGGTAGATAGGCTGCATGCAGTTGTGGGACCTAGGCTGCGCTATCTCGTGGGACGTAGGGGGGGTTACGGTTAGGGCCAGTTCTAGATGTTTTGGCGTCGTTAAAAGCGTCAGTAAGCCGAGAAACCCAGTCTCAACAACCCTCTAAAGTGTTGGGCTTTCCTGTGACGTCATCTGGGGTTAAGATATTAATAAAGCACCCGACAGTGTTATATTGTGCTATAAGGATGCATGTGACTCACAGCCCATGGCGATGGCGAGTGTGACTAACAAGACCGCCTGCGTTAAGAAAAGTCTTCCACATTGGATTTTAGGACTGTTGTTGCCAATATTTGTACTAAATTTGTGTTTCTTCTCAGATGCTCAGCTCTCATCCTTTGTGCAATTTTGTCTTCCTTCATTCTCATTCCATTGCTGATGTGTCCCTCACGTAGCGCCGTCCATGGGTTTTATTTCTATGTGTCGATCTCAGTACCTGTATCTTTCATGTCCCGCTTTCTCACATCTTGTGCAATCGTTGATAACATGTATAGAATCTAGCCCAGCAGCTTTAGCGTCTGTCAACAATGTTTGTTTCCCATGTAAGTGCCTGTTTGGTGATTCTCTGTTGTTTTCTTCCCATGATGTTTTCAGTATAGTGACATCTTCTTTAACTGATGACGCAAGCGCTTGTACCAACATTTTTCATCCCATTTATTCGCCGTTCTGGAATTCACCGTATTCATTTTTCATTCATGTAATGATTTAAATACACTACTAATCATGTCATGGTTTCACTTTACAGTGGTCACCTGGCTCATCGCAGTGATTGTTTTTGGCGCTGATTTTTACAAAGATGTGAAGAACAACTACTCAGATCTGGACTACTCTTTCGGACTGGCCATCGTCAGCCTGCTGTTATCGTTGGTGTGTGGAATCCTCTTGGTCGTGGATGGCAATAGTTCGGTTGGCTCTAAGTAGACGTCATTAATAGGAACAGCAAGAGAATGTATTCTATTTACAATGACTATGTTTATTTTCTGGAAGAAACAGAGAAACGGAAAACGTAAATACCTAAAATGTAAGAGAGAGAGAGAGAGAGAGAGAGAGAGAGAAGAGAGAGAGAGAGAGAGAAGAGAGAGAGAGACAGAAAGAAAGAAAGAAGAGAGAGAGGAGAGAGAGTGAGAGAGAGAGCGAGAGAGAGAAGGGGGGGGGGAGATAAAAAAAAGAAGACTAAAAATATAGTTAAATAATAAACAAGGAACATACGCAGGTACGTAGTGACTTTTACACATATACACATACAGAGAGAAGAGGATGAGAAGATGTAAGAAGAAGAAGACAGAAGAAGAAGAAGAAGAAGAAGAAGAAGAAGAAGAAGAAGAAGAAGAAGAAGAAGAAGAAGAAGAAGAAGAAGAAGAAGAAGAAGAAGAAGAAGAAGAAGAAGAAGAAGAAGAACAACAACAACAACAACAACAACAATAACAACAACAAGAGCAACCACAACAACAACAAGAAAAGAAAGAAGAAGAAGAAGATCAATAACTTCGATAATAACAACAGAAAGCAGATAAATAAGGAATTAGAGGCTGCCTAGTCCCGAGGCATTTCGTCCGCCACGAGTGCTGGAGGTCCCGGGTTAAATCCCCAGTGAAGACATATTTTTTTTTTACCTGGACTTTTAATAACTTCCCCTGGTCCCTCGGTAGTAAGATCGGACGCCCGTGTGTATTGCTGGGCACGAAAAAAATTCCTTGGGAGTTGGAAATCGAGTGGCACAACGGCACTGCCCGGGAAAAAAATTGCAGTTAAAAATCTACTCAATATTTTCAGGATTCTCGCCAGTGCTACGAAGTTCGTGCACTGCGCTGAGATTCGTCGGACTCACACTTGAGTTAGAAGTAGAAAGGAGCACTTATGGGTTATACATTGTGCCATGATGTTGATCCGTTGCATAAATATACAAATATGTATAAAAAAGAAACATAGTTATCAACTTAGTTGATGAGTTTGTTAATTCTACATTAATGGGGAAAAACCCTAAGGACAACTCCAGTAATGATGATGGTGGCCGTTGTACCTGCGATGATGACAGTATTAAACAAACATATGACACCAGTGTTTGACTTAACATACGCACAACTTAGTTAACATGAATTCCTAGGGACAGAAAACCGGTTTCATGGTAAAAATGGATGCTAACCGGGACTAAAAATAATAAGCTGAAGGGCAAAACCAGGATACGAACGGTACTTATCAGAGAGCTGATGTTTGCAGATGATTCAGCGAATACCACTCACTAAGAGGAAGAGCTGCAATGTTTACTGTCTTTGATGATGCATGCTGTGAATTTGGACTAACCATCAACAAAATAAAAAATAAAACAGACAAAGGTCATGTTGCAAGGTGGTAATGATAAACCTGCAGTGTATATTGAGGGCGAGGAGCTGGAGACAGTTGACGATTTTATCTGTCTGGGATCCACCGTGGCTGTCCCTACCGACAGCCCGGGATCCACAGTGAATAAGAAACTATCGCTGGACCAATAAATCAACATCAGGATAGGTAAGGCAACAACAACAATGACCAGATTAACAAAAAAGAGTTTGGGAGAGCAGAAAGCTTACGATTAAAACAAAAACTCTTGTCTATCCGGCTTGTAAACGCAGCACTCTGCTTTATGGCAGTGAAACTTGGTCAACTTATTCGCACCAGGAGAAACAGTTAAGTAGTTTTCACATGCGATGTTTAAGAAGAATACTGGGCATTAATCAGTAACCATAAAAAAAAAATCCTATTGTTATTGGCTATTATATACTGATGGTGTTGTATAAAATAATCGCTGCTTGATATTAGAACACATAAATACAAAAGCAATTAGACGAAATAAATAAAAAATGAACCTAACTTTATCTTGCTGAGAAGAGTAAAGTGCCTACTATGATAGTGCTAAGAAGGGGGAGGGGGAGGGGTGAAGGAGGAGGAGGAGATGTTATTGTTTTAGAAAGAGAGTCCCTTCAATAAAACTCAAGGAGCCTGAATTATTTGTGTTTCTCCTATCTTTATTTCTGTATCTTTTACACAATGGACCTGGCCTTGGCTCAGAATGACCTACGTTTACTACGTAAAAATTTGTCCAAAGAACTTTGCTTCTGCTTTGTCCTAAGGTTGTTTTGGAAATGTGACATTGTTTGGTCATTCCAGACAATGCCTTTACAGCTTGTTTGGGCTTTGTTGGGGGTGATAATTCTGTGCACAGTTTTTGACGTCCATCCACTTAGCAAAAATTTCGTTGATTAACGAAAAAGGGGCTTCCTCTGTAACTTTCTCTGTAACTTCCTCCTTTGAGCCTGAAGAAAATGCATTCATCTTAGTCTTATGCTCGTCTTTCTCAAGTTCCAGCAGTTCCTCAGTAGTCGTCCTCCGCTAATAAGTGTCGTGACTCATTTTGATACATGCAAGTTCTAGTGCACATGTCGTA